TGTGTGTGTGTGTGTGTGTGTGTGTGTGTGTGTGTGTGTGTGTGTGTGTGTGTGTGTGTGTGTGTTACTGTTGCAAACCTAAAATGATACAGATGTCATAAACTTTGTAAAGGTTACGAATGGGTATTTTTAGCCTGTTGCTAGGTGGTTGCCAGGCAACATGACAAGTTTGTTTCCTCAACACTTGCTGTTCACACCATGTTTCATGGAATCTGTTTCTTATTTTGAAGAGTTAGATTTAGATTTAACTGTAAATAATATAAATCTGTTTGCTAAAATCCTATAATAATGATGATAAAGTAATATCTTCTTTTTCTTTCATATATAAACATTTAGAAAACGCAGTCTGTCGGCTGTGGGTGTGTGCCAACAGGCTGGTGTCAGGTGTGAACGAGTTCCCGGGCCTTACAGAACACGTTCAGGTGAGGATGAGGACTGACGCTGTGGCTGGGATTTGATCGCAAACTGATCTTTGATGATGACTCACCAGGCAAAAAAATCCCCCAATTATAATCTCAACCTTAAGTCCGAAATTAAAACGGCAGCTTCTATGGATACTCGGGGACTGATGAAATCTGAATGAAGTGTCTTGAGCTCCATCAGCAGGTCAGAGTGAGATCATATTTTTAATTCTGCCTAAGATTAACTGTAAATAACAGATAAGAGCCTTACAGCAATGACACTGACTTCATTGTAGAATAATAAAGATCACTGGACTGAAACAAATGAAATAATATAACATGGCCTGTGTTCATGGAAAGTTTTTATTTCACTTCATGTTGAACCAAATTCAAAACACAACCGGCCACACAAAAGCTGATGTGCTGTGTTAGTAGAGGCTTCTTTGACTTGTGTTTGGTTTTTTTCAGACATCTTTGCCTCTGGCCAAGTTCGGTTTTTAGTAGTAAATGTTTGATGCTGACAGACAGATTCATTTCTGTTATGTAATGACAGATGTGTTGTCATATTCATCACACTATTGGCTAAACATCATTTCCCCAGCGTTCTTATTATTACAGCGGCACCTCCGCAACATTTTAAGATCCCGAGGTAAAGATAACCCCCGGAGCTACTGCTGCAGCGTGAAAATGGAACAAATGTGGCGCACTAAGGGCATCCTTAGGCTGTGGGGTTGTTGATCTTGCCCATGAAGAGGATGCTCTTTGTTGAATGCTCAAGGATGAAGAGCAGGAAGGGTCTGTTGAGTGTTATGGCTTGGGGCAGACTCATTGGCATGATCTCGACAGTGGTGGCAGCAGCAGCCTCCGTTCCTGTTTCGTCCACGCTTAGCACCGCCTGGTGAGACACCTGTTGGAGGAACCAGGACACAAGAGCCAATGTCACATTTGAGTCCATGAAGTGGACAAAACAATGAAGTCATATTCAGTGATCCTACCTTTGAGACTTTGAGCGGGACCTCATTAGACATGCCAGAAAAATCAGCTTTGTCTCCAAAAGCGTCCGTTATTCCACTTTCTTTCAGCGTGTCATCCAGGGAGGCTTCGGCAGAGATGGAAAACTTTGGCATGCCAAGATTCACGTTACTGAGAAACAAATACAAGAGAAAAACACCCGTGTAAGAGTCCCAGAAAAATACGCAACCACAAACAGCCACTTACGAGGTGCTCTCTTACGTCCTGAAGAAGGAATCGTGCCAGCGCCTGAGCTGATCTTTGCTGATGACAGCCTCCACCTGATTCATTTTGTCTTCATCGGGGAAAACAATCATCATGGAGGTGTTGCCCTTGTACGGCAGCTGCAAAATCGTGGCGTGGTTCCCGTCGTCTCTGTAGAAGTTGTAGCGTCCCGTCCTCCTCATCATGTCCACCTCAACTGTGGTGCTTCCATCCACATGGAATTCCTCTTTGCGTGTTATGTTACCGTCGAAAGGTTTCTCCCACTGTCCTGTAAGGGGTCACATCAAGTCGATATTGATAGTGGGTACTTATTTGAAATCGTTGCATCCTTCAGACTTGTTCGTTTCGTGTATTTGTGCTAATCTCTATCTGTGAAAACCTTGAACCAGAGAACACCTGGCTGACACTGTCTGTTCTGTCTGCATGCGTCTTACCTCTGAAGTAGACGTAGTTGATAAGGACCATTGCCATTTCAGGGTCCAAGTCCTTCACCATGTCTTTGATCTTGTCGTTGGTTTTGCTGGCAATGTGCTTGTTGATTTCAGCTGCAGCCTCTTCAGGTTTGGTAAAGTCAACTTGAAAGATTTCACCAGAGTAGTACTGCTTGATGTCATTTAAGAACTGCTCCAGAGGACTGAAGCCGGAGCGCACCGCAGCAGCATTGCCAACATCCAGCTTTTGGTTCTCCTGGCTTTCTCCAAGCATGTGAAAAAGATGCTTGTAGGCTTCGTTGACCTGAGTCTGGTTTAAGGTGCTGTAGCCCAGGCTGGAGAACAGCTGGCTGTGGGTTTCACCGCGGGCCCCAGTAGATAGCAGGGACAGGGCAGTGGAGATGCCCAGTGGCGAAAAGAAGATGTTGTTTCCAGCAGCAGTCTTGGCATTCAGACTTTTGTAGAGGACAACAGCAAAGTCAGCATTAGGAGCAGAGAGCCTGTGGCAGCTATCGTCCTCCTCGTTGCTCTGTGCAGAGCTGTGGTGGTGGTGGTGGTCGGCCAAGGCTACGGCCAGGAGCAGTGCAGCGAGCGCACAACTAGCAACGAGACCACGCATCTTTAGAGCACTGTCGAGAGAAAAACAAGCATTTAAAGTTAACACTTCCAGGGATAACAGTGGGAAATGAATTAGGACACAATCAGAGCAGGATCTGGACTGTCTGCACTTCATTTCCAAACATAATGTTTAAGTTTCCTGAAATCCATTCAGTGGTTGGCTAATAAAGCAATGTTCTTACCTTTAAAGTCCTCTCTGCTGCAGGCAGCTGCTCTGAAACGTCCTCTTTATATACAAGAGCGAGAGTCAGTTTACAGTCCAGTTAAAAATTAACCAAGAGTGATCTCTCTGCTCTGTCCCATGCTGAGAGGCTGAGCCAGCTTCAGTGATGCAACACGGCTGATAAAAACGAGTGTAA